AAGGGGAACAAGTCCACTAATTTACCCGTTCAGCCTCTGCAATAATCTATGCCCATTGGACTATAGCGTCGAATTTACAATCTAGTATTTGGCAATGAACCAAGGGGCAGCTTTGGGAGGGTGCTTTATCAGGACATCATTAATGCTTTACGCAATGTCCTTTCTGACTGAGCGTCCATCATGTGCTACACTAGAAGCTACCCCTATGCTGGACGTAAATTTGCATGATTAAAATCCGCGCTGAGTGCAAATAAGAGTCTGCCAAAAGTATACGCTTTTGAAACATGACAAATGCTCTTAGATGTTTGGCATCCCACTCCTCAGTCAGTTAGTGCGATCAGCCCAACCAAAAACTTTTTGACTTTTAACCTTTTTTAAGTGTGCATATATAGACGTGTACAACTCATACCCTAATTAATTATCAGCAAAGCCAACAATTTCCTAATGCGTTCCACTCCTTTTCCCCACGCACTGTAATCTCAGCAAGTGAAGTTTGGAAGTGGTGCGCTAATTGCTGAAACACTCGAAGTGCAGATTACACTCCTCAGTTAATTTGTATCCATAATTAAAAACCTATATATATTGTTTTACTCCAGTGTCAATGGTGTGCTGCTCACAATCAGCTGACTGTGAGTGCAAATCTCAATTAGAATTCAACCTAGCCCCAAAGTCAACAAAGTGAGCACTGCTTTATTGGGAAGTCTATTTATCTACCCATGTATATGCTGGCAAATAGGCATTCATATTATGGTCGAACTGGCTCATAACTGATTGGCCACTCCACCACCCCTCCTGTGAAGGTTCTCCAAAATCCGGCAACATGTTCAGATTGTGGTCTGGGGGTAGGGAGACTGAACGGATTTATTGATTGTAATTTATTTTCTCCGTGATGATTTTTTCTTGGAATGTGCATATTTTTTATAGTTATTTATGTATCTTTCTTTATATAGACTTGCTAAGCAGTGGGGTTTTGTTTTTGTATCATTTGTGTACGGGGCTGGCTAATTGGTGTGCAGCGTTGTGGGATGCATTTCCATGAATGACGCTATATAAAATGAAATTATTATTATCATAGCAGTTGTGTAATGGGCAGACTTAGCCCTGCCATTACAATGTGGCAATTTATCCCATCGGCTCGGGACTGTAAACTGGCAATTCGTTTTTGTTCCATGCTTGTGTGGGAACCACGTTGGCTTTGGACACCTCATTGTGGATGCTAGTCTGATGATATTCAGTATAAATGTATGCACAGTCGTGATTGACATCACTGTATGTATACTGGACATCTGTGAAAAACAAAGAGCTTCATCGCCCATCGGATTTCTCCAGGATGAATAAAGAATCTGACATGTATTGAATTCCTGCAGTCACGAAAGCTTTAAGTCAAGATTCTGACATGTACATTGTTCAGGGCGATCCATTTATAGATACCACACTGTTAAATAATGACTTTCTCTTTATTTTCAACGGTTAATAAAATATTGTGAACCTGATGGCTCCATGTCTGACAGATGAGTATGTTGGACTACTTATTAACTGGACTGATATTGGTGAGAGGCTTTATCCGGGAACGCATCACAATGCAATGCAGCCTCCAATATGTTTCGTAATTCTAAAGTCTGCGAAAGTGCTTGCTTAAACTCCCTTTCGGTGTTGATAATCACAGAGAGCATCCGAGAAAAGTAGTCCCACAACTTAGCGGCTCTGTATAAAAAGTTGAATTATCGCGAGAATTGCAAATTTGTGTTTTACACCGATGAGAGAATTCCTCACTATGGGAACCTCATTTGCCAGTAAAAATATGATAATTGTTTTTTTTTACTCTGATGGTGCATTGTCTTTGAGTTGTGCGCCTTTTGGCGTCATCTGGTCCAACCCATGTGAGACTAGGCTCGAAGGAAAGCTGTCTCGGGTGTGGACCAATCAACTTCAAGGACAGTGCACATTATCAGAGTTATGTTCTTTTGTTTGTATTATGACTGCAGGTATTGCGGTCTATACAAACATGACTCCTTGTAAAAACGTGTCAGTTTTGTTGAGAGAATTCCTTTTGTATCGGTGTGTTGAGTTACAGCGCAGACCATTCTCCCAGTCCAATTGCTCGAAATGGCATTTTTTGTTCATTTTTTTTCATTTTTTCACCTACGTGACATTGCCGAAAGAACCAAAGAGTATGGATCCTTGCAGTCACGAAAACTTCAAATCTAGAATTTAACAGAGGCGTAGTACTTTTTCGAATGGTAATTAAACCTGAGGTCCCGTCTTCGTTGTCATGAATACCATCTAGGTAAAAAATGTGGCACCACACCTATGAAACTAATTTCTGATCCACATTATGGTGACAATAAGTCTGCGGTCTTGTCTTTATTTTATTTTTTGCTCCACTATTTCTGCCTTTTATGCTTTTCGCTATGTAATGTTCGCTTCCACCACATAATGCCGTCAATGTGTGAGCGTATTTGAAATAAATAAAAACACGCATGTGTGCATGCTTTATTTTCAACGAGGTGGGAGCCCATTGGAATTTGATCTGAACAATAAACTATTTAAAACTAAACTAACATCAAACTATTTTATTTCAGCAGGTTAGGCCCACTGAGCTATATAGATTTTTTCAGAAGCGACCTAGCCATAAATAATAGCTCAACGAAGTGGCTTATCATCGTGTGGAAATTAATAGCAGTCAAATACTCTAAACGCGTGTTCTTGATTCTAAATGTGGAGGGAAAAACCGGAGGACCCGGATAAAAATCCATGTGACCACCGGGAGAACATGCAAACTCTAAATGTACAGGTGTCAGGGTCGGAATAGAACCCACGACCTCCTGCCTACCAGGCCAGGGAGATAACCGCGGTGGCGATTGATCTATTGCATTAGCCAACTAATCAGAAACACTAAAATAGTTACCAAGAGAAAGTCCCAACTGTCGGTAAAGTCACGTAGGTAAAGAAAATAATGAATAAAAATATAGCCTCCTGGCATCTCTCCGACTTTAGTATAACTTTTCTTGCTGTGGTGTTCACACCTGATGATGATTGCTTGTGTTGCACTCGCAACGTCGTCATTTCATTTTATTTATTATTATATTTTATTTTATTTTTATTTATTATTTTCTTTGCCTACTTGACTTTACCGAAAGAACCAAGAGTATGGATCCTTGCAGTCACGAAAAATTAAAATCTAGAAAGTCCCAGCTGTGCTCTCACATGTGCCACTGGACGGAAGGTGATGGGCGGGGCTCTTGACATCGACATCATCAGCTGCATCGCACTGGGTGTGGCTTGTTGCGGGGTTTCCTGCCTTCGGAAGGCAGTCATTTTTAAAGGACCGTAAGAAATTGACTCCAAAAAGTAGTCGATCATAATTATTAACCAATGATTTGACATAATTCACAAAATCATCATCCCAGCTTTGATTGGGACTAAATGTATGTATCTTCTTGGTTCTTTCGGTAAAGTCAAGTAGAAGGGAAATAATAAAGTAATAAAAATAAAACATAATAAAATAATTATAAAATAATAAAAATTAAAAATAATAAAATAAATATTATGTTTTATTTTTTTACTTTATTATTTCCCTTGTACGTGACTATACCGAAAGAACCAAGAAGATACATACATTTAGATGATGAATCCCTGCAGTCACGAAAGCTTTAAATCGAAATTTAAATGTATGTATTTATAAAGAGGGACCCGGGTTACAAAGACAAGTAAATTCATACATATGATTGCGGAACTATGCAACTTAAATGCAAATAATAATAATTGCAGCACGCCGGTGTGTTGGAGAGTAAACCCACAACATTTACAATTCGAGAACGACGTTTCACCAGTAATTAAAATTAGCATCAGGCAACAACCAGAATTTTCCGCTGTGTTGAGCTAGTAACGAATTGGCACGTTTTGTTTACGTGACAAACCTTACTAATTGGCGGTGTTGGGTGATAGCGGGTTTAACGACACATTTATATTTACGCGATCTAACACAAAAACCTCCATTGAGTATAATATTGGTCGCGAAAGCCTACGTGTTCAACTGTATACAAAACAATTAACAAATTGCAACTTGGAATGATATGAAACAAAACAAATATAGAGGTGAGAATTCAACATAGATGCTTGCGGGTGCTGTAACATCCTAAACATGTTGGGTGAGATGCTTTCTTCCAAATGTGAAAGTGTTGCAGGGCATATTCAGTGGCGCCATCAGCTGCAAAATTCAGATATTTTATGGCGTAATCCACAACGGTTAAATTATTTCAGCCGGTGTTATAAAACATTATGAAATATATATGGCAATTCTTGGTTTGGTTTCAAGCCTATGAATAAATCACGCGGAAAGCGTCCGATCGCATCTGATTTCATAATGGCGTTGAGCCTGGATAGTGCCAGGACTAGTGACCACAATGCGCACACAAGATGCATGTGCAGTAGGCGGCAGTGAAGCAAAACCCATTCTTGTTCTGCACTTCCCTTCGCCTTAATCAACCCACACTGACCAGCGTGGTGAAGTATGGTAAAACGACCATCTCAGTCTGTAATGCATGGGCAGGCCCTCATCCAGCAAAAAATCGACAAAAAGACAAGCTATACGTGTGCACCTTGTATCCTGCTGGGCGTGTGTGTGCAGTGGTAGAGTGTGATGCTCGCAATCCATGTTTTGTGAGTTTAAATCCCAGTTACGGGTGGATACAATGCGTAATATTCTGTGGGGAAGTCAACAGCAGCTGTATTATGGACATACTCAACCCTGCCGATAAGAATGTGGAATTTGACGAATGCCACTGCGCACTCAACGGAGTGAGACACTGCTGCCATTTTATTTTCCACTTCCTCGCATCTGTGTACGCATCTGTACGCCCGACTCGACATCAGCGGCCGTCAATGCGGGACACATTTCAATGTGACTGCCACTTGACTGACGGGCTCCATGCATCCGACCTTCACGCATTTCAGCCGTGCCCTCTAATTACACCGTCCCTTTTCCTTCCGTTCCGCAGGGCACGCACAATCTCTACGGACATCACCCCTTCTACATGTGCCTGGATAGTGCCAGCGGCAGTGCATTTGGAGTCTTCTTGCTCAACCTGAACGCCATGGGTGAGTGACTGTCGTTCATTGCTCAGCTTCGCCACGTCGGGTGTACAGTAGTAGGTTTGCCACCTATGAGAGACACAAAACATTTGGGGATTCATCACGTGGATGATACTATCTGACGAAGCCACGAGTGGAGAGCTACATGCAAATGTGGTGTTGTCTTGAGTGGTGTATTTGTATGCATGGAAAAACAACCAGGACTTTGAAATTCCTGAGAAGACTTGCACATTACCTGAGACAGCTGATTTAAAAAAGGGAACCAAGATGGGAACATCAGGGGACACGTGGCACCCTTGGTGTCCTTCTGCCGCACCTCTGATTAGCACGGTTGGCTATGCGCGGCGCGAAAGAAGTTTCAACATACACACGTACAGATGTAGCATTCGTAATCGCAAAGGAAAGTTTGTAATGAATCAACTTGAAGGGTAGGTGGATCACACAAAGATGGAACCACAATGTGTGTGAAACATTCTTCTGCAGGTCAATAAATAAGTTAGTGTATATCATATAACCTGTCTGAATGTGACTGATGTCCCTGGTTTTATGAACACATTTTCCCAAGTTTCCCTCCCAAACATGCTCAAGAAATCCTACGTATATTCAATGAAGGACACTCGTAAAAAAGATTAATACTAAATCATTACTGTTTAGTTTTTATTATCAACATAGTTAAGAAGATTCACGTACAATATTACATGCATTTTGCAACTTAATGCCGACATCATGTTGATCGTGAATATTAATTGCATTTTGTAAGGGTGATAATTAGTTTTGTGACTCAACACAAATGATGATGATGCATATTGGAACGTAATACTGATATCATGCTGATAGTGCAGTTCAATAATGTTTTAGAGTGGTGCATTTTGCAAATTAATGCCGATGACGAGATTGCTGATTGAAATGCTTGCAGCGAGGCAATGTGCTTTGCAGAGTGGGCTAAGCAGAATTGAGGAAACTGGCAATCTAATAGGAGAACGGCTATCTCAACGCATACACATGCACTCGATTTAAGCGAAATCTGTTCATTTTAATTCAATGCTGCGATCACCAAGACAGCGGGAATGCAATACAATTTGTTTTGAGTGACATTTTGAGGTTATTTGCAAAAATACATTAGATAACATTTTCCCAGCACGTTTAATAGAAAGCCCTGTAATTGAAGAGCATTTACATTTGCAATTACAGCACCAAACGGGAACATTTACTGTGGAGAGACAAACAGGCTTTTTCTTTGATTTCTCTGAACAGCCAGGCAGCTTTTCGCAAAGTTTTCAAAGGCAGGTTTGCACAGGCACTGTAAGTCACTATTTCAAAAGGATGCCATCATTATCATCAGTCACAGTCAATCCACTGCTGGATTAAGGGCTCCGCCAAAGCCCCAGCCACCTCACACAATGACACGATGCAAGAAATCAAACCCAACACCTGCACACCACGAGCTGATGCCATTGCTCCATCTCCTGGCCGGACGATCTCTCTCGGATTCGTTCCATCAGCACAGCGGAAATGCAATTTCAATTTGTTTTGAGTGTCATTTTCAGGCTCTTTGTAAGAATACATTACATCGAATTTTCCCAGGACTTTTCATCGGAAGCCCTGTAATTGAAGGACATTTACTCCCGGATTCGTTCCATTCCTCGGTTGCCACTCCGCTATTGTTCTTGACCATCGTCCATCATGCTTTCCAGCGACGTGGCCGGCCGAAGTCCACTTACTTTTCTGAACAGTTTGAATAACGTCAGTAACCCTGCGTGTCTCCAATGCACGTGTTCGTTTTTCTGTCTCAGTGTCATTTTGACTGTCGAGATCTCTCAGCTTTTGTTCTGTATCTCACTGTCAACGGTCACGGTTCCTGAACCAGCGAGTGGTACACGCACGTATGTATGTATGTATGCATGTTGAACTTCTTTCGTGCCGTACATAGTCGACCGTGCAAATCGGAGGTGTGGGGGAAGGGCAACGAATTAAACATGAAAAGCAGTTCTAAACAAATAAGTTTTGAATCTAGATCAATTAAAAGTGCACAGCTTCAGTGGCTTCCTCATATCGGAGGGAAGAGCGTTCCAGACGGCCGCAGAAGTGCCTCTGAAAGCGTGCGATGCGGTGACCATCTTTGTTCGATGGTTTTCCAAAAGCTGCTGCGAGGATGACCGGAGTTTGCATCATGGTTTATGCTCCTAAACCAGATCAGCATGGTATTGTGGTTCATTTGTGGCAAGCACTTTGTGTGTGATGAACATATTGTTTAAACCAAATTAATCAAGCGTGACAATGCCAACCCGACTAAAGGTCGCAAGCGTGACTGACTGCGCCAAGGTAAATCATCGTGTCCGAATGAAAGCGCAGGCTAAAATAATTTAGTCGAGTTATTAGACACTGCAGTGCACAGAGGAGGACGTTGTCCAGTATAACAATCTATAGAAATGGCAATAACAGTATTTGGACAGAAAAAGAGTTGCTACTGAGTTCACCACTTGGCTGAGCTGGTAACATTATAAGGAGGTGGTTGCTGATGGTGGTTACAAATTGACACTTTTGCCCCCTTACTCGCAGACGCAAACGCATGAGCAGTCCTGGTGTCAAGTCACCTCAAACCAAGGGGGGTGGGCGCAGCAGCTGCCACCGGTTGTGATGATCAATGAACGTTTGAGATGAGACGTGATGTCAGTCGTTTTTTCTTTTTTTATCGCCGGGTGAAGCGCTTTCAGACACCCCGGGTCTCGAGGATGGCTCTCTATTGAGATAAATAAAATCAAAACGTAGGCACACAATTCACAATAGAGAAAACGTGTGTCGGGTTATGGGTTGGATCGCGTACATATGAATGTGTCGTTAAACCCGCCACCGCCCGCCACGGCCAAGCTTTGTTTGTCACGTAAACAAAACGGAAACATTCCACATTACATCATCCCCCCCCCCCCCCTGGGGCGCAGCCTTTCCTCTGTAGCCACACATCGTGATGCCTCGAAACTGCCGCTCCGCCCAGAGGTTGTACACACGATGGCGGCCGATCGACTCCACTGCCCCCTACCCACCCAGTACGATGAATCTTGTTTTTTCTTCCTCCGGCAACTGCTTTCGGCAGCGTCTCTCCGTCAGTGAGCAGGGCCGCTCATTAAAAGCAAATATAGGTCCAAATGCCCTTCTGTCTCCACATATATTTAAAAATTGCATGTTTAATCCATTGGCCTATTGGCTTTCGAGACCGACATTATCCACACCGGCACTTGTTTAAGCAAGACAAACGGTGGACCAATCCTGACCTTCTGGGTCTCATCAGCAGTCAGGCTTGTTCAACAAATGCTGCTGGGTTACCAGATGTTATTGGCAAAACACTTCGTCTGAACTATGGCGCCTTGTTAATTCAAAAATGCAGTATTCTATACAAACTCATTATGCATTGCGGCCGGATAATGATCATCTGGAATGTTAAATGTCTGGTAGGATAATACGATATTCATATTTAAATGTAGAAACACAGTCTGCAATTCCACGTGTATATGCTTTTGCCCATATTGCTCCAAAGCAACATTGATCATTAGAATGATGGGATGAGTTCTGGTCATCGATTTAAATGTCTGCGCTAATAACTCAAATTTTGTGTATAACTGCCTCTCAGCTTTCAAGCCAAAGAGGTTGCTGGCAAGCAACACCTTCATATCTCAGCCCAGCAGCGAACAGCACAATTGCTACCCACATATTGAAAGGCCACATATCCCAGTGCGGTCAAAATCAGAATATGTATTTATACTTGAAAAATCCGATGATCTATGAAGCTTTCTTTAACACATGTCCAGTATGGGCAGGTCAGAAAGTAACAACAACAAACAATACAAAACACGATAGGGGTCCAAAGTTAAACAAATCACAAAAAAAAGCATATTTTTATTTTACCATTCTAAGGTCTACTGAGCTATTTTCTTCCTTTGCAGAAGCGATCTGGCCAGAAATTATAACTCAATGAATTGGCTTGTCACGTGGACATTTATTGTAGTCAAACAATCTAAATAATATAAACCCATGTTTCTAAATGTGGAGAGAAAAACCGGAGGACTCAGAGAAGAAATCCACACAGCCACAGGGAGAACACGTAAAATCAAAATATACAGGTGTTAGGCTCTGGATCGAACCCTCGACCTCCTGCAATCTAGATAGCATCACACCACCGTGGTGCCCCTTAAATAACTAAAAGTGTATAAGTACAAATAGCATAAGTACATCAATTCCCAAGCTCGGAAAAGGCAGTAAAACAACAGCAAAAACAGTCCCAGACCACACCAAGACAACACGTGTTCATCGCTGCAATCACCCTCCAAATTGCAGGTTGTTGTCGTTTGGTCTCGGCCACCGAATTTTCTTAACCATGGATATGTTGCGTAACTTCTCTGATGTAACAAAATAGATGCCACGACTCCTGCTAGAGGGCTCAGATTTCCATCGGAAAGCATTTGTAATCGCTCCCCCATGTGATTTATTATTTCGGGCTGTGCCGAGCGTCGTTTGTCACGATGTCTTGTGTATTTGCGCTGCACGTGCTGGGAGCTTTTTGAGGAACTGAATGTTCTTCAGGAGCTGTTCCGAATTCTTCGGGAACGGAACTGCCTCGAGCTTTTTTCAACAACGAGTTCAGTTCCTGAAGATGCTCCCAGCATGCGGAGTGAAACACCGGACTTCGCGTGGCGCTTTCAGATGCGCTTCTGCGGCCGTCTGGAACGCTCCTCCTTCCGATATTAGGAATCCACTGGGATCTATGGACTTTTAAATCTAGATTGATAACTAATTTCTTATAACTGCTTTTTGTGTTTAGTTTATTGTCCTTCCCCCACACTTCCGATGAGCACGGTTGGCTACGTATGGTGCGAAAGAAGTTCAATATACATACGTACAACTGATGATGTCGAGGTCTGATGATACCTGATTGAGGAGAGAACAAAATGTCAATGAGCTATTTTGCATGGTTCGTACATCCATTGTGCCGAACGACACGCAATCGCACTTCA